AAATATCTTCTTTTTTTTTTTTTTTTTTACCAAAGCTAGTGGTGACAGTTGGATAAAGAAATTTTTAAAAACTGTTCCCCAAATCTAGTGGTAGCAGTTGTATAAAAAGAAAAAATTTTTTTTTAAATCTCAAAGCTAGTGGTAACAGTTGCATAAAAAGAAATAAAATATGTTTTTTTTATACAAAAGCTAGTGGTGACAGTTGTATAAAAAGAAATAATTTTTATTTTACCAAAGCTAGTGGTGACAGTTGTATAAAAAGAAATAAAATATTTTTTTTCTGACCAAAGCTAGTGGTGACTGTTGGATAAAGAAATTTTAATTTTTTTTTACCCAAATCTAGTGGTAGCAGTTGTATAAAAAGAACTTTTAAAAAAAATCAAAGCTAGTGGTGACAGTTGGATAAAAGAAATAAAATATCCTTTTTTTTTAAAAAAAAAGCTAGTGGTGAGAGTTGATTTTAACCCAAAAAATTTTTCCCAAAGCTAGTAGTGACAGTTGGAAAAAAAAAAGAAATAAAATATTTTTTTAGAACTAAAGCTAGTGGTGACAGTTGGAAAAAAGAAATAATATATATTTTTTTTTTTTTTTTAAATAGATAGAGGTGACAGTAGTATAAAAAGAAATATATAATATTTTTTTAAACCAAAGCTAGTGATGATAGTTGGAAAAAAGAAAAAATATATTTTTTAAAACAGATAGTAGTGACTGTTGTATAAAAAGAGACATCATATATTTTTACAACTGGTATTGGTGACAGCTGGATAAAAAGAAATAACATATTTTTTTTAAACAGAGAGAGGTGACAGTTGTATGAAAAGGAATGAAATATTTTTTTAAACCAAAGCTAGTGGTGACAGTTGGAAAAAAGAAATAATATATTTTCTTAAACATATAGTGGTGACAGTTGGATAAAAAGAAATAGCATATATTTTACAACTCGTATTGGTGACAGTTGGATAAAAAGAAATATTTTTAAAAATTTCTGACCAAAGCTAGTGGTGATAGTTGAATAAAAAGAAGTAAAATAATTTTTTTTACGAAAGCTAGTGGTGACAGTTGGATAAAAGAAATAATATATTTTTTTTAAAACAGATAGTGGTGACAGTAGTATAAAAAGAAATATAATATTTTTTAAACCAATGCTAGTGTGACAGTTGGATAAAATAAATATTTTTTTAAAACAGATAGTGGTGACAGTTGTATAAAAAGAAATATAATATTTTTTACAACTGGTGTTGGTAACAGTTGAAAAAAAGAAATACATTTTTTTACAACAGCTAGAAAAATCTAGTTGTGGCAGTTGGATAAAAAGAATGTTTTTGTTTTTTTACAACAGCTAGTGGTGACAGTTGGACAAAAAGAAATAAAATATTTTGTTACATCTGGTAGTGTTGACAGCTGCATAAAAAGAAATATATATATATATAAATTTGTTTTACAATAGCTAGTGGTGACAGTTGGATTTTTTTAAAAAACACTTTTAAAAAAATTACCAATCATTTTTAATAGAACCGGGGTTATTGCAGGCAGTTGGTACAAAAATGTAAATAAAAAATACAACCACAGCTCGTGGGGACAATTGGTAAATGAAGAAAAAAAATATATATATTGCTAGCGGAGAATATTGGTGATTGGTGAAAAACGAATAAATAAATAAATACATAAAACCTCAGAAAATGGAGACAATTGGTTAAAAGAAAAAATTAAGAAATGAAACCAAGGCTGGTGGACTGTGGAGATAAGTGATTATAATTTTTAAAATAAAAAATAAAATCCCCAGCTAGTGGAGACGGTTAAAAATAAAAATGTGACAAAGCCAGAGCAAGTTGAGACAGTTGGAAAAAAGAACTTTTTAAAGAAAATGAAAATAAACCACAGCTAGTGGAGACAGTTGATTAAACAAATAAATAAATACAAAGTCCTTGGGACAGACACTTTACACGAATTTCCCTCACTTCACCCAGGTGGGAATGGGTAGGCCTACTTGGCCATAGACAGCGAAAGATCTTGTCAGTATGTTAGTGTTTTAGTGCCTATAAAAGGCTGCTTGCACCGTATGCTTCCCAGGAAGTTGAGGTTGTTTCAGAATGCTCTCAGGTCTGCTGGGGTAATAGTATAGAATGTGAAGCGCATTGAGCTTGCTGTTGAGCGGGGATTTGCGCTATACAAATGCTATCTATTACTATTTTTATTATAAAGAAAACATTTAAATAAAGCCACAGCTTTAGGAGACAAGATGTAATATAAAAATAAATAAATAAAGCCCCAGTTTATGAAGCGACATGGACCAAAGAAAAAAACAACTGTTTTGCGTTCTAAGTTCTAAGGGAAATAATTCATGTATTTTAAAAAATCGTATTGGTACTTGTTATATACATGTATTTGTTTCCCATCAACGATATTCATCCAAACTGACGGATGTAAAAAAAATGAAACGAAAACAAAAAGGCCAATGGATGTAGTTAGCGAAAAGAAAAGACAACTCGGATACAATAGAGACGATTGGGGGGGGAAAAAAGAAAGAAAAAAGAAACTGCTAACAGGTAGGATTTTCGTTTTTAAGATGTTACTTAATCATTAAGGTAATGAACAATTACATAATAAGAGTTTTACGGTCAAGGGGAAGCAATTCATGTATTATTTTAATCGTATTAGTATGAGTAGCATTTGTTTCCCTTTAACGATAATCGTCAACAAATGGTCCTTGCTCTCATTTGACCGAGGGTGAGGTGTTGATGGGGTTTTGTTTTAGTATTATAGTAAGAGAGTTTTACGGCACTTGCAACACAATAAAGTCATATAAGTGCCAAAGATTAGAGGTGTTACAAGAGAGTAATAAACACAAAAAAGTAAAAGGAGGGGAGATAAGGACGATAGATGTTTGATAGGAAAGAAGGAACAAACCACACCAGAGCACCCGCCAACCACCCACGTGCTGATGGTTTAGTGTCTGCACCAATGGGATCTCACCGGTGTCTGTAACGTAGCGTCCAGCACTTGGTTGTGACATCACAGGAGACCCGAGTGCGACTCCCAAGTGGGAGACTTATCGACTAGCATCTCGCTCTTTCTGCCGGGATGTAAATGCTGTATCCCTCTCCGCTCGGGTTGGAAGCCTGGTTTCTAAATTGATCTAAACTGTGTCGATGGCGATGTAAAAACACCTACATTAATTAAATCATTTTTTAAAAGATTTCAGCTTGCAGTTACGTTTTTTGTTTTAGTAAGAGTTTTTACGGCACTTGCAACACAATAAGGTCATATAAGTGCCGAAGATTAGAGGTGTTACAAGAGAGTAACAAACACAAAAAAAGAGGAGAGATCAGGACGATAGATGTTTGATAGGAAAGGAGGAGCAAACCACACCAGAGCACCCGCCAACCACCCACGTGCAGTTGGGTGAGTACACACAAAAGGAACAACAATCCACACATCCACTGTTGTGTTGACCTACACCATAAGTTGCTGATGAATAAATGGTGGTGCAGACTTCCCATTCTTTGACCCTTTGTGCACACACAGTACACAGTAGTAGTAGTTACTAGTAGGCCTACACAACACGCCAGGCTGAATCTGCACCTGGCTTTTTTAGCAACACAATAAGGTTGTATAAGAGCTGAAGATTAGAGGTGTTACCAGACAGTAAAAACACAAAATAGAAGGAGGAGAGATCAGGACGGTAGATGTTTGATAGGAAAGAAGAAGTAAACCACACCAAAGCCCCCGCCAACCACCCACATGAATCCCAAAGACAATTATTCTCACAAATCAGCAGACTGAAACAGCTTATCTTATAATAATTAAAACTCATCAACAACAGAAAACAAGCGTTGTTTCCTCAGAACTTTTACTTCAAAACAAAATCTAAAACATGATCATGAAAACCGTACAACATTTTGCGTGAAGTCACGATAGAAAAAACTTCATTGTTGACAGACAAGAAATATTTCCATCAACCGTCACACACGCATCCAACGCCTCACCCCACACCACAAGGATTAGACTGATGAAGAAATGAGTGTACGGAGAAGGAAAGTCAAAGAACAGACGCGACTGAACTGCCGGACCGTGGAAGAGTCAGCTCAATCAAAATGAAACAAAAAGGAAAAAAAACAAAAGTGTAGGCCTGCCGGGTGTAAGCAATGACTTGATCAACCCATGGCACATTTCGCAGAACGCAGACACGCGTTTTCTGTGGAAGCCGGAAATCTTAGAACAGGGGGCGTAAGTTCTGAATAGCTAACAGGAAGTCAGATTCAAAACATCTTACGGATTGCTCAGTTAGGGTAAGTTAATGCTCCCCCTGTTCTAGTGAGGGGAGAAAAGAGAACCAAAGATGGAAGTAGTCGCTGTTGTGCAAGTGAAATCACTTCCAGCCCCACAGGACAGAGTATACAACGTTACTTTAGGACGACAAAACGACGGTCAGACACAGTTCAAGGTCGTCATGTCCTCGGTTGGACATGACGTAAAAAGCTTTTTTGAACAATGAACATTCAACTTGGTCCAACAGATGAGAAATTCACGGCTTCGTTTTCGCCAGTGCTGTAAAACTCTTACGAAAGCGAAGCCATTTTTATAACAATCTCAGTCTAAAACGATGAGAAAGTAAAAAAAAACTATTTTTGGACAATGAACTCCGTCGAACACATGGGAAACTAAAACGTCATTTGAGACAATGAAATCGGCCCAACATTTGACATTTGAGAAAGTAAAAATCTATTTTTGGACAATGAAATCGGCCCAACGTTTGACATTTGAGAAGTAAAACGTCATTTCTGGACAGTGAGCTCGGCCACTGCCTGTGCGCCAGCCTCCTGTTTTGGCGGATCGTCGGGCCTCTCTCTGGCCTCCACCAGAGCTTGGTGCTTGGCCAGGTACTGTGCCCGGAAGGCCTCCAGCTCCTCTTTGCTCGACGGGTGGATCAGTTGTTGCTGCGGGGAAAAATATTGTTTTTTACAAAACGAGGAAAACAATTTTGGTTAGTTTTAGTTTGGTTTTAGTAAGGTTTTACGGTGCTCCCAACTGCCTAAGGCTAGTTTATTTTTAGCAAAAGAATTTTACAGCACTTGTAATACAATAAGGTCATATAAGTGCCCAAGATTAGAGGAGTTATAAGAGAGTAACAAACACAAAAAAAGGAGTGATTAAAGGATGACAGATGTTTGATAGGAAAAAAGAAGCAAAATCCCACCAGAGCACTCACCAACCACCCACTTTCAAAATTTGAGATCTGAAATCCTTGCGTGGGTGAACATCTACCCTTCAACATGTCAAGTGAAATCAATAAAGTAAGTGACGACATGGAGTTGTTTGTTTCAGTAAGGTTTTACGGCGCTCGCAACTGCATAAGGTCATATGAGCGCCAAAGGGTGGATATCAACAGAGAAGTCCTTACAGGGAATCAGACTTACTCTGCTCACCTCTCTAGCCTCAACAACACAAAGTCTGCTTCGACTATCAAAGCACCCCGGAAACAGCGGGTCACAAGAGAGTGACAAACATACAAAAGAAGTAGAGGACAAATTACGATAGTAAGGATGGGGAAAGAAAAAGTAGCAGTTCCCCCTATGTTGTTCCAGCACAGTATGAGCATGACATTGATAAATCAGCCCATCTACAATTGTACTGTGCCTAAGAACATGGTAATGATAATGTCCCCCCTTTGGGAACGGCCTAAAGACACTTCAAGTGAAAGCAAACAAAGTGACCACATGGAGGCAGATGGCCAGATTCACTGACACAGTTCGCCACCCCCGTGATTTCTTGTCCTCGATCCATTTTTAATATCAGTGAAAACAGTTCATAACAAAGAGTGAGCTTAAAAGAAGTCACATTTTCACTGTTTGAAAAAAAATGGAGATACGACAAGAAAGCACTGAGGTAGCCAGTAGTTCAAGCAAAGCGCTGTTATAACCTCGTCACATCGTGGCAGCGAGGGCCACAGGATTGTTTCTGTCCTTGTGGTGGATAGTGAGGATTGCGAAGAATTTAGAGAGCGTTTTCAACCATTCATAGTTTAGTTTAGTTTTAGTAGAGGTTTTACGGCGCTCGCAACTGCATAAGGTCATACGAGCGCCAGAAGATTAGAGGTGTTACAAGAGAGTAACAAACATAAAAAAAGAAAAAGGGGAGATAAGGACGATAGATGTTTGATAGGAAAGAAGAAGCAAACCACACCAGAGCACCCGTCAACCACCCACACATTCATTGTAAGTTGGAGTCTGGATTTAATATATAAACATTCACCTAAGCCCACTGACAGTACAGGAGAAGCTATACGGGCCGACAGATGAACGGAGCAGGACGGCTCAAATATACGACAGATACCGGACTTCAAGTGTGATGCGATCGACAAGAAGAAGATTTTAACATCATAGTTATTGTGTATTGAGGTGTCAGGAAATATTTTGATGTCACCCCCCCCC